CTTGTTTGGGTTTTTAGATTTATGTTATAGTATTTTCTCAAATTGTATTCCAATTATACAGTGCAGAGAGTCTGTAAAGTTGATTTAAACCTTTAGTGGGTCTTTCCCCCCCCATTCTGTTACTGCTCTGAACAAGGCAGATAAAGTAATAAGAATGAGGATTTTTGTAGTTGCGAATGGCCCCACTGTTGTGTTTGGTCCATTTATCACACTTGAACGCTTACTCTTTCTGTCCCTGCCTGTCCGCCTAATAGGGTATGAAATGCAGGTGTGTGTGGGAAATGGCAATTGCGCATTGACAGGTTATTTTGTTGGCCAGTGCCTAATTAGTGGCATAGTGGATGCACCCTGCTAAGCTTTAGTGCTTTGCATTAGAGCCAGTCTGTTCTAATTTCCTCACGGCTTTGATATTAGCCAAGAGATTGACGGTTCGCACAAAAAAACAAGAGCGTGATGGAGGCCTGTGTGAAACAATGGCCCCTCTTGCTTCTCGATACCACAGATGGGAGAGGTAGCGGACCAGAACCCATTGGCAGACAAAGCCAAATTGGCTCCAATGTCAGAGGCGCTAATGTTGTCCCAAAGAAAGTAAAAGGCCATAGTTGAGGACCACACCCATGGTTCTCCACCCTCCCGGCGCCCCCCAGCCTTTCTTTCTTATTTTGTCTTGCCTCTCTATTCCTTATCTCTGCACTAAACCCTGGTAGTAAATTCATAGAGGCTCCTTTCTTCTTCCGTGATAGAGGGCAGAGATCTCTTAATCTTACCGTGTCGTACAAGCCACAACCTTTGCAAGCCTCTGCAAGCTTTTGCGGGGAAGTGTGGATTTTGACACTGGCAAGAGGCTCAGAGCCTGTAGCACAAACAATTAGTTATTAACCGCAAATCAGATGCAGGCCAGAATACTTTGTTTTGTGGCAGAGCCAGCTGGTTGAAGGTTTACATGGGTGTGGCTTGAGATACGTGTCTATCCAGAAAACCTTGTACTGTATCAGCATTTCGTTTGCTTTGTAAAACACGGTCGACAGAGCCAGGCTGCTTGTTTTATTAAAATTTATGAAGGTAACATGTCTGTTTTTTTTGTTTTTATTGATTTAATACTTCAAAAATCATTTTTTTCAGATACTGGGAAATTGATTGCTCAGGAATTTAGATCATATTTTGACCAAGACTATTGTGCGTTTACAATTTATATTTGGACGAAAAACCAAACACATTAGGAAACGTATGGGTTTTTTGTTTAATTTCAACTATACTGCACTTGAACTTAACTAGAATTGGTTTCAGATAATTTTGGATACTTGTCCTTCCAAATTGCCACTCTGGGGTCCTCATTCACAAAAAGTTTAGTGATATGAGAAGCTTGTAAGTTTGCAGAAAGGTGGTATTCATGAATTTTTTTTGGATTCACAAACTAGGAAAATAACAGTCTGAAAGCCTTGCACACATGCGCGTACACGTGTTAAAACTAATCTAAATTTCCACATGCTGAATATGCTAACTGCATTCTAATGTATGCAAATGACATGAAAAGACAGGATTAATTAGGGTAACAATATGTACATGGTTTTCACAAAAAAGTCCCAATTGTAAGGCCTGCTTAACTTACGTGCAAGTTTGCATGTACGAAAAGAAGATATAATGAACTGAGGTATTTCTTATATAAAGCTGCTGTGCAGCACGAGTGGTGTATCTGAACAAGGACACTCTCCTTGCACACAGGGTAAGACATGCTTGTTAAAGGAGAGAGAAAAATGTAAGGACCATGGCCTGAAGGATAATAATTATTTTAAAATGCGTAACACGGTGGTAGTGAATATTTTTGAATTTTAGAGTCTACAAAAAGCACTTGCTTTCTCGGACAATCTCTCCTGTACTTCCCCATGTTTCGCAGTGTTTTCCCTGCCTTTATATTCAGAGGAGCCTACAGTATATATTATGTCCTTACAGTTAGAGGCCAGTGATCTTGAGGTGCGTCTTCTAATATATTATCTGTGCTTAAGTTACATGTACATGTTTCTGAGGCACCTGTAGCTGTGCTAATAATGTGCTTATAATAATGTGCTGATTTCCATTGCTTGTATCATTCTGAGGGTCGTTCAACTTTGTAAATACAAACATACACATTAGATGTGCATCATAAGCATAAGTATTAAGTAACTGTGTTTTGAGACATTTAGTATATCTTTGTAAATTAGGCTTTTTTTCTGCTCTAAGGCCTAGCGGGAGACTGTTTACACTGCAGTATACATTTCCTCATAAACCTAAAGAGACCATCTACAGTATATGGAGCTTAAAGTCAGTGATGTCTTACTCACTATGCCTTAAGTATTTCTAAATATTTCTGTCTTATGTCATTCAATATAGAGGGTTGGTACATTACAGTTATCCAGCTCTAAACAGTTTGATGGAGAGTAAACCTTCACAAAAAGTATTTCTCGTATGAATGTTATATTATTAGACTCCCTACATTATTTTTATAGCACTCATGTATATTTAAATATTGAAGTGACAAAATGAGTGTAGTTAACAGTATACCCAAATCACGTGGCTTTCACAATGTGCATTTGTTTTGATCTGCTTGCATCATTTCCCATTTTCATTACCATGAAGCAATGAAGACTGATTCTCGAAGAGATGTTTCTATAAACTGTTAACAACCTGATGAGTGTTCTCGGCCAGATGCCCTCCTTTAGTTCACTGCCTCAATTTATTTTGTTCATACTCATTAAAAACCATTGATTTAGACTAGTTTGATATTTTTAGATCTGGCATGAGCTACTGTTGGATTAGCCAGTGGCATAGCCTTGAAGAGCTGTTCATTCTTGAAAATTGATTCATAGAATAAAATTCAAACCCATCATCATTTCAAAGGGCTAGAAACTCCAATCTGGTGAAATAAGTGCATTATTTTTTTACGTTTTGTTTCTATTTTCAGTTTTTTAAGATTACTGAATTTCAAGAACATTAGAAGCAATATAAACTGTACAAACCATTATGCTGAAACCTTAAATGCTTACATCAGACATTAATCTTACAATTGTTATTGTTCTCTCTGCTTTGTATGTACCCCAAGAATATTTTCATATCAAACACAATGACTATTTAATATGTGTGTTTGATTGGAAAAGTGAAGTAATATTTTTTGTTTTGCCAGTAAGAATAATCCTGAATCTTTTACTACCTAATATAACATGCTGTTCAAATTTTCCGTCAGGATTTGTAGTGATTGAAATGAACTGAAGGTCAACCAAAAGAATACTATGGCTTTGCTTTAAGCAATAAATATTACAAAGGAGGCTAATTTTTTTTTTCAGTGCTACAGCACATGAACTGTTAGGGGTGAGGTCTGATATACAGTAGCTGGGACAATAATCGGAAACATCTACACAGTGAGAAGGAAATTGCCGATTTACTAAATGAGTATTTCACTGATGTGTTCACTATGGAAGAAGGCAACAACATCCCTCAGGCAGCATAATGACAGCACTGTCTTTTAAATAATATTCAAACAGAAGAGACACAAGTGTTACATGTACTAGAAGCACTCAAGATTAAATTCCCCGGGACTGATGGTATCTTACCAATTGTATTTAAGGAAACGAGATTTTACACAAAATCATTGATTCAATTCTTCCAACAGTTGCTCTAGATTGGAGGTTATCTTAAAGGACTGCTGAAATGCCCATCCACATAACTTATTTTACATGCAGGGTTATGGAAATCATCCTAAGAACCAAATTAGAGGATCACCTTATGAACATATTAACCTAAGGAAAAGTCAATATGGATTTAGAGAAGATGAGCCCTACCTGACCAACTGAATGGATAAAAACAGTAATGGATATACACACCGCGTGTGGTATGTACTAGTAAGATTTTCAGAAAGCTTTTGAGAATAAGCTAATAAATAGAAAAAGAGTACAGATAAGAGGTGAATTCTCAAACTGAAGTAATGTCATTAGTGGAGTACCACAGGGATGTATACTATGACCACTGCTCTTCCAAATATATCTATATAAAAAATTCAGATTCTGATATAGATTAACTAGTTAAATTTGTAGATGATACCAAATTTAGATGATTGTCAAATAGAATTCAAATACATTTTAAAGGGCAAACACTTGCAAATGACATTTAAAATAGACAAGTGCAGGGCAAAGTACTGTATAAATGCAAAATGAAAAACACTGAGATAGAAGTGGCTACGTACAAAGATGTTTAGGTTGACATGTCATTTAGGACTACATCTAGAGAAGTGGAAAAGCAATTAAAAAGGCAAACAGCGTGCCTTGATTTAAATTCTAGACTTTTAAATATATATCCAATAATTTTATGTTAAAATTGTACAGTAACATGCCTTGTTACTTGCCTTATAAGGCATCATTTTGAATACTGTTAATAATTTTGGCATCACATTATGGAAAACATTTCAGCTCTAAAATCGGTTCGGGGGAAGAACAACCAGGTACATTCTGGGGCTTGAGGAAATGATCTACACTGACAGCCTATGGGAACTGATCCTTTTTAGTCTTGAACAGAAAAGATTGCTTGGGGAATTACAAATTTAAAATCCAGATATAAAAATATATTCTGACAAAGTTATTCCGGAATGAACAGTGAAACACAAATCGAAGGCCACAAGTAGAAACTTGAAACTGAGAACGGGAGGCACTTCTTTACACAAATAGTTGTGGGAATATTGAACAAGCTACTAAGCTACTGTATGTTGTTGCAGCTGATACCCTGACTTATTTCAAGAAACTGCTAGATGAAATCCTAGGTTCAATTAGCTACAAACTACCAAAGGAGCTTAGGTGGGTCGAACGGCCTTCAGTTGTGCTTTGTTTTCATCTGCTGTATTGTATTTTTTCTGGCAACCTTGAAGTGCAAATTCAAAAGTCAAAAACAGTCATCTGGCAGCTTCTTCATGACTAAATGGGTATAGCATTCATTTTCCTCTTTTCTAAGCTGATGAAAATGCTGTTCATCTTTTCCAGCCTACTCTACTGTGTCTGGAGTAAATGGACCCCTTGTGATTTTGGATAATGTCAAGGTATGCCTATAAGTTGTTTTTTTTTCCATAGTAAGGGATTTCAAATGCAAGATGTAAATGTCACTGCAATTGCTACCATTATATATAAATATATATTAAAACTATGAATTCAGAGGACTAAGATTTTGAATGTTGCAGATTTTGAATGTTCTATAATTGTACCCCAGCTGTGTGGAAGGTTGTCCTATGGTGAAGCAAAGCCCAGCACCTGTTTCTGGTCAGACCCTACTGCATTTCAACCCATTATATCCTATTATCCCTAACTGACAGATGTTACTGTTACTGAACCAGTTGGATGTCTTCAGGTTTTCTGAAGGATGTATAAAAAAAACCTGTACACACCTTTTGTCCTGTGGCTGTTTAAATTCACGAGATGCGAGTGCCTTATATATTCGAATTGATATTTTCTAATAATTGTAATATTTATTTTTAGAGTCATAATATTTGGAATGTCCCTTTCTGTTCCATCTGTTCCAAAATGCGATGGAACTGTAGCGAAAAGTTTCTGAATGTTGCAGTTGCAATAGGGCAACCTGTCTGATTCTACCGACTGCTTTTCTTCATTTTCAGTTCCCCAGATTTGCAGAGATTGTGCATTTGACCCTGCCTGATGGCACAAAAAGAAGTGGCCAGGTGCTGGAAGTTATGGGCTCAAAGGCTGTCGTTCAGGTACGCTATTTACTTGAGCCTCTTGTAGAGCCATGCAAGAAAAATAAAGTTGTACAAAAGTAATGCCATTTTTGTTTATCTTTGAAAGTAAATGGTTTTTACCTGTGTATTTAATTCTTTAAATCATTATCAGGTTCCTTCCATCTCCGTCTTTGAAGTAGAAAGCCATTCACATAATTAGGAGAGATCATATTTAAAAATGAAGACTAGACCTGTGTTGGCTCTGATTTACAACTGAACTTGTTTTCTGAAGCAAGACACAGCGGTGTAGATAGAGCTTATCCTGTTAAGGGCATGAAGGAAGTTAAAGGAAGTCTTTCCTTATTGATTTAGGTATTTGAAGGCACTTCAGGAATCGATGCAAAGAAAACAGCTTGCGAGTTCACAGGTGACATCCTGCGCACACCTGTGTCTGAGGACATGCTAGGTAAGATGACCCCTTCGAGAGAGCAGAAGGCATTTTTCAGCGTTGCTCTGTGGAAGTGACCGTGAAGGCTGCTATTCATTTATAAAAATTAGGCTTCTTTTCAGAGCCGGCTGTCCTTATTTTTTGGATAAAGAAAACCAATTGCAGGTGTAATTTCCTCCTTCAAATGTTGAGCACTGATTTCAAGCTTTTTATTGTTACCAATATGTGTGTGAAATGTGATCATTTTGCACCAATTGTACCCGACCATTCCTAATCCCCCTGTGTTCACCAGGTTTAGTGTTCAATGTTTTTTTTTTCACTTAAAGTGCAAAAACAAATCATTTGAAACCATCGTGACATTTTAAAATTTGTTTTCTTTTTTTTTTCTGAAAGGAGAATGGGGATTTAATGAGAAAATGAGGAATTGCCTGCTAAAGGACTATTTAGGTTGAATTTGATACACTTATCAATTTTCTGCACAGTTGAAGGAAATCTAGTTGCTTCTTGTTTTATAAATATTCATATGCACAAACTAAGTGTAGCTAGCAGCTGTTTCTATTATCCAGTTTGGTATTTTCTTCTTTTTTCTGTTAGTACATCTTTGTTCAAGAAGATGGAGAAGGAAAATACTTTATGTTCATGAATGATGTTAATGCTGATAGTGCACTTTTATTTACTTTAGCTGAGATTCAGAAATAATACTTCAATTTAAAAAAAGCATGTAAAATCTAAGGCCAAAACCCAGCCATTACTATGACACTCATTAGTTAACAAATTTCCTAAAACATGTTTTCACTCAGTAGGTTCAATGGGTGTTCACAGCTTATTAAAGAAGTAGATTTCAAATGTTGAAATCCACAATCAAACATTTTTTTAGTTTTTATTCTTTCAATTGTTTTTGTATTAAACAAAACACATGATTATTAATAGAGCTTTAGAATTTGAATGTTGGTTTTTAATGACTCAATTAATGTGCATGTGAAAAAAGCCATATTGGTTTATTAATTTAATGATTCATTGTTTCAACTACCCTCTATTTAAACTTAATTGTTCCTTTGAGGAAATGCTGAGGTTGCCCTTGTAGCTGAAGCCTGTGATGATTTGTTATATGTTTTAGTCTTTAATTGTTTTACATCGTAAGATAATAATGTAAATGCTGAAAAAACATAAAAGATCAAAAACCTAAATTTTAATTATAAACTCATCTAGTTCTTTTGAATAGAAATCTCCAGAGAACTATGGCAATAGTTATATCTTGTGCACTCTTCCTCTTGTTTGTAGGGCGTGTTTTCAATGGCTCAGGGAAACCTATTGACAGGGGGCCAAGTGTGTTAGCAGAGGAGTACCTGGATATTATGGGTAAGAAAGCTTATTATTATTTTTATGTTTTTTAACCACTCAGAGTGCAAAGGTGAACTGCTTATTGAAGGCACCCCAGTTCAGCCCAGAACCCAAGAGCTGTGAGCCAGCTATGCTAACTGCCACGTGTATGTCTTGTATAAAAATTGTAATTATGGATTTTCTATGATGAAGTACTTGAAATGCATTGACTAGCAAGAATAAAATTTTGTTTCCCTTCACACACAGTGTTCACATTCCTGGCCTCCTGAAATCTGAAGGTGATCAATAAATATGATATGAAAGCAATGTATTGAAGAAATGAAATAATTTTAATTTCTCTTTATTTTAATTTCTTGAGAGGTATGTTGAATGGGAATATAGAAACCTAAAAGGAGTTGTGTTGTTGAACTTGAACCACACAGCTGTTCCCCATGGAAAGGGTAAAATATGTTCTTTAGAACTGCAGAAAAGGAGCTTATACAGGTTGCATTCATCATGGAATTGGTACAGTAGCTATAACTGAGGCTTTTTAGTAGTTCACGTACAGGTATAAGAACATTTATCATTTCTCACAGGGTGAATGGTGGAAATATTTTATCGTATTATTTCTTTCTTTTTGTTTTTTGCTTTGAATGGGTGGAGTAGGTTGTGTCATTACTGCAAGCTTTAAAGCAACAAAATGTGAAAACTGTTCAAGGGTGTGAATATTTTAAGCTCTGCAGGTACCCTGTAGTTTTGCAGGCAATGTTCAGACATTGTTCAGGCCTGTTCAGCAATGGAAATTCAGTCAATGCTCTGTCAAAGATCAAGAGACAATGTTATGGCCCTAAAAGTTATTTTATTTGAAAATAAGGTGATTAATAAATTGGGTAACTGTAACCAGGCCAAACAGCTAAAAGAAATCACCTGTTAGGGTTGTGAAACCAAGGAGGGTGATCAGAACAATCAGTTAAATTCCAGCACTGCTGTCTGATGCACTAGAATAGATCTTCTGTGTGAATAACATTTTTCTCATTCTGTTATACAGTTAAGGTTTTGTATTTATTTGAGTTTTGACATGTGATCATACAGAGACCATCCATTGCTTGTTGTCAGTGTACAGTAAATGACAAATGAGAATGACCACCAGTATCAGGCTTTATGCCCCTGTGTACAATTATGTTTTATTTAACATATCATACCATAAAGAGCGATATCAAAGAATGTTCAGAGTGTTCAGTGTTTTGTCTTTGATTTTAAAAGTTGGTGTCACTTCTGACCTGGTGACATAAGGAAATAAATATTTTTTAGTGCTTTGTGTTTTTGCATAAATTCATTATTGACTCTGTGAAATTAAATAGTTGGATTTCCTTCCAGTTTTAATGTCTTCTGCACATCTTTCTCAGATCTTTCTATGTGTTTTACTTTGACTCTTATATCCCTGTGCAGTGTTTATGAATATGCAAGCCTTTGCCTTGATTGTGGTTCCATTGTAAGGCACGTCTCTCATAGAGTAAATTTCTGTATAAACGGAAAAGCTTGTCCTTCCCGTTGATTAAACTGATGCTTTTTCGGAAATCATAACCCCAAGGGCATGTTGTGCTCAGAGATTCCTTTATGAGTGGTGCTTTGTAATTTCAAACTGTTTATAATCATCAATCAGAAAAGCATAGGTAGGTTGAATAGACTATAGTTTGGCATTATGTGAAGACTTAAGCTCTATTCATGACCTTCAGGAGCTATGGTGTTAAACTTTCAAATCTGCTGGCCTTCTGCCATCAGTGTCTTTATAGAGCGATTATTTAGCTTTCACTTGAATATTATTGGCAGTAATTTCTGCTTATAAAAGATAGGAATTTATGGGGTTTTTTTATGTTTGCCATCTTGAAGAGCTGACCTTCCATGGTTTCTTTGACCCTTACAGGTCAGCCAATCAACCCGCAGTGCCGAATCTACCCAGAGGAGATGATTCAGACGGGCATCTCAGCCATCGATGGCATGAATAGCATTGCTAGAGGCCAGAAGATCCCCATATTCTCAGCAGCAGGTTTGCCCCACAATGAGGTGAGTAGTCTGGTTTTGGCGATGTAGTTAGTAATGTAAACAACAAAAGGAGTGGGAATCGAGATCTAGCTTTCCCAAAGCTTGCGTCTAGTGTGCATTCTCAGCTAAGATTGACTTAGGCTCCTTTGCTATTAGGAATCGAATTTGGTTAATCAATAATAATTAATAATCACATTGGTTGTCAACTAATATTCTTTAGTTTTTGTTGATTTTTTTAAAGAAAGCGGATAAAGTTGAGTCTGTGTATACAAGTAGGGCTGGGCGATATGGCCAAAAACATTATCACGATAAAAATTTTCAAATCAGTCGATATCGATAATTATCACGATAAATGTCAAATCATTATTTCTTTCAAGTTTAAAGGCAGATTTTTTCTCCTGAGTGAAAGTTGAAGAAACCAGACAGTTAATTGGTAAATTAAACAACTCTTTATTTTAAGAACACATCAAACACTTGCCAAACAGTAGAAACATTAAACAAATCTGAGGTAGAGAGTATTCAAGTCTTTTTTTATGTAAAAATTTACAAAATAAATATCTTAATAGAAAAATTAAATACTGCAGTGTGATAAAACACACATAGAATATGGCTCAGACAGACTGCAAAGTTTAAAGTGCTCTGTTTTATGTCTGATCGTAAAAAGCCAAAATATCTCCAAATTACCAAAGTTGAATGACCTTTTCTGTCGACAATGTCATCGTCCTTCAAGCTGGTCGTTGGCAGAACTACAGTACATTTGCTTCAGTGTAGCTCATTTCTCCACTCTAACTGCAGTCCTGTCAGCCACTACTGTGTGGGTAAACAACACCACGTTAGCTGCCCGGTCTGCAACACACACGCACACTCGCACAGTATTTTGTGCGCATGCGCATATCATGCGCAAAGCATAAACATATATCGAACATTTATCGAACTTTTGTTAAAATTATATTGCGGAAAATTATATCGCGATAATTATCGTTATCGAATTATCGCCCAGCACTATATACAAGCTGAGGTAAAAGGCCACTTTAGTGTGGATTTGTTGTATAACATATTGTAAAGTGTGTATTTAATTGTTTCTTGCTTTTGTTTAAAATGTTGACTGACTGGCTCCTTCACCAGAGATATCCCATAAAATTACTACACACTTATTCATCTGAAATGTACTGAGGAAGAGAAGGGCATCATGTAAAGCTCTGTAGCCTTTTTTAAAGACAGTCCTAAATTACTTTACTTCCCTGTGTTATCGCATTCAGTACTGACAGATTTCGAACTGGAACTGTATTTGCTAGAATAGGTAGTCATTACCTTTACAACAGTAATCAAAAGAGAAAGAGTAAGAGTGAATCCTGACCTTCCCCTATTCCTGTTTGTGGCCTTAAGATATGCTGTATCCATGCCATCTCATCCTTGTAATGGTTCAGTTCTTTTTCTTTTTTTCTATTTCTCAAAACGTTTGTTTCTGAGTCATTCTATGACTGTGTCCTATTATTTGAGATTCTGATACATAGGCACCTGCCTTTGTTTCACTTCTCATATTGCTTAAAAATCTCAGATTTGCCACTGATTTAGTGAGACTTAAATGACCAGAACCATCACGAGAAACATGGGCAGATACCATGACAGTTAGCAGAGTCATGGAAACGCTGCACCCGTTGGGGAAAAAAGGACCCATAGTAGGAGTAAAGCAGAGGTAGCTATGTGCATATTTTCCTTAAAAAAGCTAGCTATTACTTTTTTTTTATTCCTGAAACTTTCAATCTGGAGTAAAGCCTCATTAACCTTTCATAGAGTATAGTTTTTTTCCTCTTCCCTAAAGAGCTGGGATTTGACAAAAGGAAGGAATAACAGAATAGTCATTCTCTCAGCCTCAGAGAGGATGTTCGCTATAATTGGAAACTCTAGAAGGATGAAACAAAATGCTGTGTGTGCTGTACCTGCTCTGCGACTGAGATTGTCAGTTCCCAGCACTACCTTGAAGAGAAATGCAGTACATTAATGGAGTTAATGGAAATGACAGTGTAAGGAAGACCACAACCCCAAACTCATACTACTTACCTAATATCCCACTGAGACCTAAGTACAGGTTATTAGCCATTCCTTCCCAGCAATTATTGATTAGAATTCTTTTACCTTTTCTGTCTCCACCCTTGCATCTGTTCTTGGGTTCACTTCAGCTGGGGGAACACTGTCTTCCCGGGCCTCCATCACTCAGCCAATCAGCATTGAGCTAAGGAACAACAATCTGCTTTTGATACAAAATGAGTCTGTAGGTAGTTGCCATCTCCTGAGTTTTAAGGAAAAGTGAAATAAAGTGATATCAGAGTCTTATTTGACTTCAGTGATACAGCAGGTTGATATGTGAGCTGTGCAAACCAGCCGGAATAATGAATGAGGCTCCTCTCTGCAATGAGTAAAGTTAGATATGCACCTAATACTTGGAGAGATAGGAAATAAACATGATCCAAGTTGACTGGGATATACAATATAAAAATTATTAACAGAGATCCAAAATATACTAAATGGCTTTGAAATCTTGTTGGAGTTAAGTAATGATGCAATAAAGCTTATTAGTATTTCTTAAATGTGTTATATAACCAATAATAATTTTAATGTTTTTACAAATTTGCAACATAATTTTCTAAAAATTGGTTGCCGACCATATTTTGGTGTCAAGTTTCTAACCCTTAACTGTACCAGTTCTGTGATTAAAGATTTAACAGCTGTAGTCAACATCTGCATTGTGCAATGTAGTACGTTCAGTATAGCTTGTTTTAATTGTTTTGAGAATCTGTGGCAACTGAAGGTTATTTTATGTGGTGAAAGTGCATCATCTGGGCTTTGCAAACATTACAGCTAATGGTGGCTAATGGATTTATAAATATCAATATTTTACCCAGTCCACGTAAACTGCTTCTTTATGTTTGCTTTAGAAGTTTGTGCTGAATTTCTAGCAACAAAAAAGGGGTTATATTGCCATCCTCAAGGTGGGAGACAGTTGCAGTAAATCAGGACTCAGGACTCCTTCATTGTCAGTTTACAGAGTGTTCTGGAGAACGCTAACTGCACAGAGGTCTGTCTTTCCCTCAGTCCACACAGTTCTGAGTTCTCCCGGCATCTGAGCCCCTTTTATTTGCTTTAAAGAGAGTGCACTTTCACCCGAATTTCCTGTATCATATGCTATATATGATCTTAATGTGGTTCCATTCAAATGATATAATAGAAATTCATTGCCAAGTCTGTATCTCTACTTCCTTTTTAGGGGACCTCACTTTCCAGCTGTTACTTCGTTCACACTATCTTATACAGTACAACAGTTATAAGTTACATACGTTATAGTATATAAGGTGTTAACTCATACAAGATATGAACTTATGTAAGTTGCAAATGCAAACTTAGGAAGATCCTAATAGAGACCTCTGTGGTACTCCACTTATTACACCTCCTAATTTGAGCATTTATCCGTTCTCTATACTCTATTACCCAGCTCTACATACAAATGCATACCCTACTTCCACGTCCACTGCTTGTAATTTGAGAATTAATCTTTTATGAAGAACTTCATCAAATGCCTTCTGAAAATCTAACTATAATACATGATAGGCTCTGTATATGCCCATAACTGTTTCGTTGAGCAATATTTAATTCGATTTTCTCAATCCATGCTGATTATCCCCTTGGATATTATTTCCATATAGATGATTCTCTTAAGTAAACTTTCCACATCATAGACATAATAGTTTTTGGTTTATGATTACTTGATTCAGTTTTGTCTATTTTTGGATGGACATTCCATTAGTAATTTTTCAGTTAATGGGCTGAAAAATTGAGTGACAATCAGTAGTTTTGTTAACAGTCTATGAATAAAAGCTTGCTTCCTTAAGTACAAGTGGTAAAATACTGTATCATCAGATTTAAGAGATTTGTTTTTCTTAAAACCTTCTAGCACCCATAGTACATCTGCCTCTTCTGTAGTGATACTCTTGAATATATATAACTATATACAGTTTAATATTGTATAATATATAGTCTTTCCTTAGGCTGCGGAATGTTTTAGATTTCCATCCACACATTGTCTAACTGCTTACCCCTGGTGAGGGTCATAGTGGTAACAGCCTGAGCAGACTTCCCTTTCTCCAGCTCCTCCTGGGGGATCCCCAGTTGCTCCAAGGTCAGCAGAGAAATATAATCCTTCCAGCATGTCTTCGGTTTGCCCCTGGGTCTCTTCCCAGTGGGCCGTATCTGGTGCACCTCCAGCAAGGCCCCCGGTGGGCCTCCACGCCAGATACCCAAATCACGTCAGCTGTCTCCTCTCGATCCAGGGGAGTGGCGACTCTACTCTGGAGTCCTCTAGGATTGCTGAGCTCCTCACTCTGTCATGGAGAGTATGGAAAAAAACATATTTTCACTGCTTGTACCCATGATCTCCTTCTTTTGGTCACTGCCATGGTCATGGTTTGTTACCATCCTTAACTATGTTTTTGATTTTTTCCTTTGTAAAACATCTGAATGAAGTATTCACTTAATACTAGTCTTCCATTTCCCTTTAATCATTAAGAAGCTTCTTTTATTATCCCATTGTAATTTTATGTTATTTTGTTATTTTTATTTTCCCATGGTAAAACACTTCTTTTTTCATTGTAATATACATACAGTATATATCTTTTTCTCTTGGCCTTTCTAATATACATTTTACGTGTGCATGCAACTGTTCTAGCTATCGCCTCCACAAAACAAATTAGCGACATCCATGCCCTTACATTTTATGTTGTCTTATTTAGGTCAGGAATCTAGGGTGTTGTTATGGGATTCCTTACAAAAGGACTCACCCCCTATAATGTTAAACAGTTGTAGAGCTGATGGCATTCCGTCCTCCATCATTCATCCCTGAGGAAGCCTGTTGTCTACTATGACCCGTACTATTGTTTAGGCGACACACACATGAACAATACATCATATTGATGAGCTACTGATATACAGTACAGTAAATCTAGGGTGTAGGGCAAGGCCCCGTCAAAGGGCACCTTTTCCACTAGATTATGGAAGCGATTTCTACTGCCTCTGAGATTGCAGATCATAGTCCCCCCCACAGGAGTTGGTAGCTCACTCCATTAGAGGCTTTGCTCTGTTTTCAGTGTGCCTCCTGTCCTGCTGTACTACAGCTAATTAGGCTATTCCACATAGTTTTACTGTAAAGATATGTCTGGTCCCAAAAGTCACTTTATGGCTGCCTTTGTCTTAAGAGTTGGCTGTACTTATGCCAACATGTTCCTCAGGGTTTCTGCTCTTCAATGGGTATGTTAGGTTTCTGCTGTAACCCAGCAGCTCTAAGTCTGTTAAAAGAGAAGAGTACCTTGCAAGCTCCTTGGGTTGATGAACCATATTTGAGTTTGTCAATAGAAGAGGAAGAACAGATGTTGTACTAGCCCTATATTTCAGTGGTGTGGGAGTAGAGAAAGAGTGGAACACACTGGTCTTTCTACAGCACTAGAATGAGCCCTCTGTCTTCTGGGCATTTTTATAAAATCTTTTGGTGGATACTTGTCTCTTTCTGGGAACAAGAATTACACAATTAACATTTTGCCCTTTGAAAATCAGTAGGTTTAACTTTGAATTCTTGCCAAGCAGAGATTATTGACAATATGACTTATGAGCTCTTAAGTGTCAGAGCTCATGACCTCTGCTGTGTGTTTTTAATTTTCCAAGTTGTCATTCCCTGAAGCAGTTAACCTTGTCTTGTGAGTTTCTTTATCGGAAATTAACCTCCCAAGGTTAAGTCAGTCTTTTCCTTTCTTTTGTTCTTGTTGTTTTTTAGTTGACTTCCATCTCTATTTAAATTGAATAACTTAATTAAAAATGCACTTCTGTTGAGAAACAGGTCTTTTGTTTCTCCAATTATTCTCTTATTTTACCTCTAACTAGCTTTTCATTCTCATTTTAGATTGTTGGGTAATGGTAATTTCTTTTGGAAAGAATTTCTATTTGTGTGAACATTCAAGTGAATGCATTGCTAAGTTTCAAAGCATATTTGTATATACTGTTTTTAGGGCTTGAAATATTTATAAGCCTTCCAGGACTCCACAATATTCTTTTATACCCAGTATTATTGGAATATTGTAACCAGCTATTTTTTACACTCACTCATAACTGTTTTGGAATTAGCACTAGATAAATGTACCGTCTCTTCAACTCCCCTACTAATCTGAAGGACTTCTGCTGTTGTGTGGCTAAATGTACTACAGAACAGTGTACAGAACAGGTTAATTTTATGACAACTGGGTGCCTTGAGCTTTGGGTCTTCAGAAATTCAAAATTTCTCCCACAGTAATGATTTTTTTTATGTTAGTGCATAAGATTTCCCCCTCATTGTTCTCATGCTCCAGTCCAGCTCAAGATTTCTGGAGAGGGGAGTTTTGCACTCTTCTATCACATTTCAATTCTCCCTCCATTCTGCTGTTATAGCAGAATTTTCCATATCGCTTTGTCCTGGAGAAAGCAGAATGGAAATTGTGCTTTTTGATCTCTGGTTTTCAAAGTTTCTCTTCAACTTTAAATTCATGTCCTTAAATCCATGTCTTAATGCAGTGTGCATCTTCAGACCTTAAAATGAAAGAATGAAATGTTACACGTATCAATTTCCAAAGATAAGTATTTTAAACTTTTTTTCATTTTTTTATTTAGAACATTTTGTTAGCTAATCCACCCAATGTCGAGTCACCAGTTGTTTTTTTGTGTATCAGCTTATGGTGACGAACCCAGCAATTTACCCTGTGCGGGAGAATAGGAGGTGTAGGCAGACTTCTCTGAGCCTCTTGTCTTGGAGCTATTTGCTTTATAACATTATACATCCCTGTCCCAGACGTTCAGTCTCAACTAGAGGAGAAGCATGTCTGTCGTGCACGGCAACCAGCTAAGAACTCCCCATAGTAGTTTAAAATTAATATAGTTTGGTTTTGTTGTTTCAGCTATGAGTGAAAAAGCTGATGTAGTATTGAACAGCTGAAAAAAAATGTTCTGATTTAGTATAAATGTTTAATGAACTACAGTGACGCAAAAAGTGACTTTGCCGGATAAAATAAGATTCCATATTGTGTCTCATATGATTTGATATAATAACAGTAGTAAGAACAGCAGGAATAGGAGGTGCTCCACCACTTAGTAAAAAAAAAACTTTTCTGGAGTTTAGGAATCTGTGCATCTTTTTCACTCTATAGTAATTAGCAAGACAACAGCATTCTTTATATAATTATCAAACAAAATTAGAAAAACAACAAATATAGAACATTCTACTCAAAAAGTAGAATGTAAAATATTTAACTCAATATGTTTGCTAATACAAGGTAGTGTGAGGTGTCTTCCAGATCATATTTTTCAATTTTGCACCGTATTGTGGTCTTAGGTTTTGTCCACTTGATGATTATGAGGCTTTATGTGGAACCAAGTCTTAAAACTGTTCATTGTTTACTAAGGAAAAGAAATTGTATGATGCAGATGGCAGAGGACGTTCTGTCTTCTATTAAATAAATAATGTACAGTAGCTACCTTAGTTTAACTATTTCTACCTTGAGCGAAGGTGTTACTAGCAAAACAGTAGATTAGGTTAAGGTGGGTCATCTTCTGTTTTTTTTTCCTTTTGCCAAAACAAACAACAACAACCGAAAGTTTTGGAAAGCAACCCAAAAAAAATTATTAAACAAAGGACAAAGTGAGATGAATATAAATCACTTTAGGAAACGTTTAATGTAAAATTGAAATGCTCCCCTTAAAGGTCTCTTTCATGTAGCGAAGAGACTTTCATCATTTGATATCTACACGTTGCCTGTTCAGATGATTATTTCACATCATAGATTTGGATTCTGCTGCATTCCTGATGATACTTACTTTTACTTACAGACCAGAAGTGATGCTACTGCTGTGGGTTCTGCACTTCACAGGTGTCTATCTGATATTAAAATGAGGATGAACAGAACCTTCTTAAGCTACATTGTGACAGGACTGCTGTTACTCCTTATTACCTCTCCTTAAGCTCCTTCCTCCTCTGTAATTACTTCCTACTTCCTCAGAAATCTAGAGTGGGCTGTAAGGTTTACCTGTTCTCAAATAAGGCAGTGATTGGTGTAGAGATCAATGCTGTCTTAAGGGCTTACTGCATGAGTGTACTCTAGCTCTTAATCAGAAGGCCATTACTGTCCTGAAGATTGAGCTTCACACAAAGGGTGGTAGATGTGGTTCTGCACAAAGAAATACGTTGGGAAATCCTCACCCAAAATCTTTAAAGACTCTCTGACTGTCATCAACATTTTTACAATTCTCTTGAAGACCTCTCTTTTAACTCTAGCATTTGAATGCACACATTAGTTTTACTCTTGGTTTTACAGAGTCAAGCAGCTGTGCAGTAGATATTTTTGGCTTAAACTGCAGTCCCAGTTTCTCAGAAAACTGGTTTCTCCGGTTATTGCATCTCTGTTACAAAATAAATTCATTGACGTTATAGAAATATTTGAGAAATTTAGACTAAAGCACAAAATCGTGAACTTTGTGAAAGTACTTTAAGTCACCACATTGTTGTAAACTCGCATTCGTGTTCCAAAATGTAACATGATGTGGCCCTTCTTGCTCACTAGTCACTGTAATGACTAATGCAATGTGATGTACAAATGAATAAGTACAGGATGTGGAGCAGACATTTTGTCTCAGAAATGTTTAAACGAATGTGCAGAGTTCAGTAGTATTTAGTAAGTAGTATTTGTCAGCAAAACTGCCTGGAAATCTATTTGATTAAAAGAGATGTATTCACAAGCCTGCTTGATTTGTAGCGTTGCAGTTCTCCTTTTAAATATAGTAAGTGGGACATGACTTATGAGGAAAATAGAAAGTGTTGTCTTTGGTTTCAATGGTTTTAGTTAAACGATTTTTGACAGTTCTATTTGCTCTGTGGGAATCAGTTAATTCAGTTTTTTTTTGTGAATGTGAATTAGTATCACAGAGAAAATAATTAGTGTGCTTCTTCCATTTCTCCTTCTGATTGTCTCGGAGGCCTTTGTGAGGGTAGCTGTGTCTGTTATTTTTCTTGCAGCAGGCAGAATAACACACATAATTGTAATTGAGGAAGCACCTTTCTGAAGTTGGCTGCCCGGTTCTATAAAGTGAGAAGAACAACTTGTTTGCAAGCCTTTTCTTTTCTTCCCAGATTGCTGCACAGATATGTCGTCAGGCTGGCCTTGTTCAGAAATCCAAAGATGTGATGGATTATAGTGCGGACAACTTTGCCATCGTGTTTGCGGCTATGGGAGTAAGTGGAGAGGAGTCTGTTCTTTTGGGGTAGATTGGGCTTTGCTGTGTGGTAGGTAGCCAGGGTGAACTCTATTAAACACCAGAGCCCACACTGCCCAAAGGTATTGCTGCCCTTGGTTTAAAGTTATCTCATTTACCAGATGATTAAACATTTAATGCCTTTTACATAAACTAATTTGAGCAACCTATTCATGACACAGTAATAATGCAATGCTTTTATTCTTGCAGCATTATAGCATGTGTGATTAATTGGCCCTTATTAATGCCTAATCAAGGCAATAATTATCCTTTAAATTTTGATTTACTCTCATATGTCTTCCATTACCGTTACCTTCATTTATAATTGAACAACCAATTGCTATTATGAAATTAATTTTAATTAAAAACTTGAAGAGTCTTGGAATGAAGTTCTGGAAAATATGTGTTGAACAATGTAATGCTCAATCATTTAATGCATAAAATACTTAAAGAGTGACAAGTGAAGAGAGTGGACAGCCTCTCTATTTACAGTGCCTATAGAAAGTCTACATCCCCCTTGGACAATTTCACATTTTATTGTTACAGTATGGAACCATGATGTATTTGTTATTTATGTAATAATTTTCTGTTTTTTATTTTTAATACATTTAGTAAAATCTCTGGATTTTTTTTTACTTTGACATTATAGCATACTTTGTGTTGATGAGTGGCAAAAATGCTCAGTTAAATACATCATGGTACCACACTGTAACACAATAAAATGTGAAAAAGTCCAAGGGGGTGTAATATTAATTAATAATTGCTTAA